CTGAAAACTTGCTGGATGTTCAGTGATGGGTCTGCTCTGACTTGATGGTCCACAACAACAAATATAATGTTAGTCCAAATTCAGAATCTCTTGTAGTTATTTGTTCAACAACAAGAATTTTTTTACCTTGAAAATTTTTATTTCTGTCACTTTGCTGCCTCAATTTTCATAGCCTTCTATGACAAAGCTATGTTACTGGAGCCTAAATCTATGTGTATAACAAAATTTACTTTCCATTTGACTAGTCAAACTCAATCTTCACAGATTACTCTCTTGTGTTTCCTCCATTTAACTCTAAGAGATTTTCTTTTTCCTCAATTGTCTTTTCCTAATGGAAAAGAAAATGAAATGGGATATTTTCTCATTGTCTACTGCAAAAATAGATGATGACCATTACCATATACTGCCCCTGTTGTTTTATCAGCCACTGTCCATTTGCTTCCTGAATCATGACAAGTGTATGCACAATGGGGAAAAATGCTGTCTTACATGCCTTCACATGATTTGTTGTCTTTAAGATAGTTATGATTCCTAGAATTTCACCCATTGTTTTTTGAAAGCATGTTGTTAGACCATTCTTCTTATAATCTCATTACTCTATGTGAGTAGTACACTTGAGATTGTAAAATTAACATTAAAATGTCATTTTTAAAAGGCGCTTCTGGTGGCCCTGTGGTAAGAAGCCGTATTGCAATTCCAAAGTCATATTGTTTAAATCCACCAGTGGCTCTGTAGAAAGAATGGGCAATCTCTTCCTGTGCACTTTGCTGCCACCAAAAACATACTGGAAGGTCATCTATGGATTGATTCTGACTTGACAGCACACAACAATAGCAATATGTTTAAAACACAATCCAGTTTAAAAATAAATATAGCTCTTGAACACATAGATCCAATCAATCACTTATGAAGTCATAGCCATACACATGTACTTCTCAATCTGGGGACTCAATAAATCTCTCATTGTGAATGAGCATTTTTAAATCATATTTGTGTAAGGTTGTTTAAACAAACAATTAATCCTGTACCCTATGTAAAATCTGATATAGGTTATGTCTGTTGACTAAATCTCCCAACTTTTATTTATATAACTATTTTACATATGCGAAAATTTAGGTGGCTTTTTTTCTCCGTGATATAAAATGTACAGCAGATATTGGCAAAGAAAGTTCGTTTTTTAATTCAATAAAAATGTTTCTGATAGAAATTACAATTAAATGTATTTTTGTCATTTGCTGAATTATTATATCAATTATTTAATTATTATTAACCATTAATTTATTACACTTGGCTCTTACATATAATTAGAAATATTTTAAATCACACAAAATCATAATATTAAAAATATTAAAACTGTTAAGTTATATTTACATTTTAAGATTATCCAAAATAAATGATAGCGGTATATCCAATTAAATCCCTATAGCAAAAATGTAGGCAAAAAATAAGATAAATACATGAAGATATATACTTACACTATATAATTGTAGATTGTGAAAGCAATTCTATTTGGTTTTGTGAGAAATAAAGACAAGTTCATATAATATTTACCTAAGGTGAATCTTTTCAGAAACAAAAAAATGTGTGATCTTGTCAATCTCAACTTTATAGGCAGCAAGTAATACTTTAAAAAAATAAAAGAAAATCAGAACTGGGTGTGTCAACTGTGATGTATATCTGTTAATTTGTTTTATTATCACTGATTTCTTATTTCTATTTTCCTGAATTAGATAAAATATAACAATTTCCATTCATTTACATAATTTTCTTTGATTTTTAAAAAATACTGTTTATTATTGTTATTTTTAAAAACCCACTTATGAAATAGTAGCTGCATAGAAGAGTATTTACAATTATCCTTATATTCTAGATATTAGTAAGAAATGTATATATTATGTGTTGAGATGATCAAGGGTCATTAGAAATTTCTTTTTTTTTTTTTAAAGTAAGGCACTTGACTTTCTTGGCCATTCTAAATGTATAACTGTACGTCTGTTCATGTCCCTACATCTTAGAGTTCTATTGATGGATTTTGGATTAAAAAAAAAGAATTATTAAAGCCTCAATGCTGAAATTATTATATAACAAAACCAATATACAAATAAGCAAATTTATGGTTTAAATTTAGCAAAAGAAAATGTGATAATAAAATTATTCATCACAATTGCTGGGGTTTAGTCCATATTTTCTACTTCCTAATTATAAAATGTAAGCTGTTCATTTTCTGCAAATACATGGTATAATCACAAAATTAAGAGCATACTGAATAGAAAGAAATATCTGATTTCTAAAATATCATCCAAAGAATTGTCCATATATATATTTCAAGTTGTTGCTGTTTGGGGCCATTAACTTGAGTTTGACTCTTGGTGACACTAGGTATAACCAGTGGAAACTCTGCTTGGTATTAAGCTATGTTCACATCATAAGTCAAAGGAATACTAGATATGTGATGTCAGATTTTAAAAAATATATTCATTTTTTTCCACAATACTACTCAAGAAATTGAGTAAAACTAGCTTGGAAGGAGGAGTGGCATCCAATTCCGAAATGACTTGCCTCCAGAAACTCTTATGAACAGTGCTCAGGCCTTTCATTCATAGGTTCGCTATGAGTTGTCTACGACTGGATGGCACCTGACAACAACAACTCATGAAATAGACCAAGTTATCATCGTTTACCTTCATTGAACTAGCAGATTGTTTAAATAGAGCTGAGACCAACTTTTGACAAGAGAGACTGACATAGTGACTATCAACAGGCTCAAGCTTATAAGAATTGGTGAGGATGGTGCAAAATTTAGCATTCTGCATTCCGTCGTTAACTGAAATTTGACTCAAAAAATAAGGTGAAGTATTTGTAGTACTTCAAATTTTGAAGTAACCTGGGAAGGATAGGAATTTTGTGGATGAGAAACTAGTAGCAATAGCATGAGCACTAAGAATATATATCTTTTTCAGGTTTAAAAGATAGAAATCCTTGATGCCAATGTTTACATTTATTCTATGCATATTTAATGAAAAACAAATATTTCTGTTCATTTTGCTATTATTAAATGTGTGCCATCGAGTGGAGTACAAGTCATAATGACCATTCGAACAACAGATCTGAACCTTGTCCCATCCTGTGCCTTCGTCATCATCTCTGACATACTTGAGCCCAGTGCTGCAGTCACTGTATTAATCCATCTGGTTGAGGCTCTTCTCTCCCACCTTTCCTAGAATGATGTCCCTTCCCAAGAATACCCCTTTCTAGCAACATGTCCAAAGTATATGAAATGAAGTTTCACTATCCTTGACTTTAAGGAACTGTCTAGTTGTCCCTTCTCCAAAAATATTTCTTTGTTCATTTGGTAGTCCATGGGATATTCAGTACTCTTCTTCAACATAACTCAAAGGTGTTATTTTTTTTTCCCTTCTGTCATCCTTATTCATTATCCAGCTCTCAGAAGAAAATTATTAAAAAGACTATGACCTGAATCGGGCACACCTTAAGTCTTGAAACGTGCATCCCTGCTCTTCAGTTTTAGGTTCCAATTATTCTCACACTACCTAAATCAATCTCCAATATGAGTTGACGTTAGGCGGAAATATAGCTAGAGCAGTGTAAAGTGAAAACAGCTCACATTTGGTCTTTTGAGGATATAAATAAATTTCTTACACACTAACAACTGTTGGCATGTACCCTTGAGTCAGCCAACCGATAGCTAACCCTCCAGGAGACTTTCAGAGGCAGTTAATCAGATGGGACGAGATTGTCCATCTTTCTCCCAAAGAGCAGCTAGTTGATGAAAACCTCATATTTGGATTGTCAGCCCAGCTCCTTATCACTAGGTCACTAGAGCTCCCTTTAGTAACTAACTATAGTGCTCTTCAAAATGAAAACGGATAATGACCTCAAATGGCAGTGTTGGAGAACTCCTGGGACCTAATTAATCTCAGTTCAAGAACCACAGCAGTCATCTGATCTAATCTCATCTTCTGTATCTCTATAACTAAAATTCACAACAGTGAAGAAACTTTCCAAAGGTCTCAGCAATTGAGTGGCTAGACTTTGAGTTCCATAAGCAAGGTTAGACTGTTTAATTCACTATTTTTAGCACAAAGCCTGACACCTAGTTGGTATTCTACAAATATTTTGGGTCATGGTTTAATCAAAGAATAGAAATGATTAAAAGAGTGGTGGAGGTAGTTGAGACCTTACTTTCAGAAACTGGAGTATGGATCAGAGGAGTTAGAATGATGACTTGTTCTACTGCTACAAGTTCTGAAAGCTTTAGTTTTAGTCACAAGTAACTGAAGAGACAATGCCAAATGCCTATAGGATCTACTGTACCTTTGGGTCATTTTGAAGTAATTGTAATTATCTTTCTAGAGCTCCCTGTTAATCAGTAGAGTTGTAGCTATATGGAAGGACTATTTCCCCCCTCCTTCGCCATGGACTAGTTAATTTTCTGAAATGTTCTACATATAGTATCTACATCTACATTATATCTACTTGTTTCAATCGAATCTCCAAGTATTAGAGGTCTCAATGATAGTACTTGAAGTGACAAATGCAATTATTATAACAAAGTTTAAAAAAAATCTTGAGGAGCAGGGGACAGAGAAATATGAAAAGGCAAAGGCTGTCAACATTTAAACTGCTTAGCTAAAGAAGAAAAGGTATTAGACTAGGTATAATTGGAACAGTATATCTAGGTCTCAAGGAAGTAGATAGGTAATTGGAAAATACCTTTTCAAGTAAAGGACAAAGTGAAGAAGTTAACAGCAGGCATTGATGTATAAACAAGTCAAATTTAGGTGAAAGAAGAGCAGGCATGTTTCATTATGGATTCTTGGAAATCATTCCCTGTAGATTTGCCTGGGTAGATTGAGACTGACATTTAAAATGTCAGGAGACAGTCTGAGCAATTGCTTCCATGTTCCAAACATTCCAGTTCAAGTGTAAAGTTTGTGTAAACAGGGTCATGGCAGTGTTTTGGGGTAGAAAGGAGGTCACTAAGACTGCTTAGGGACCCAGGTAAACTTCCAACCTCCCTCCTCGTCACGACGCACAAAAGCTTGTCCCTGGTGGAAGGAATGTGTTTTCACATTACAGTGAGGGCTCAGGGATGTGGAAAAAGCCACCTCTGTCTTGTTGGGGGACACATCAGCAGTATAGTACTGAAGGGCTTGCTCCCCTCCAGGAGGATTTGGAAGCTGAGGAAGGAAGTGAAAGCTTTCCCTGTGACTGGCAGTGTGTTGTAGAGAGGTTGTCCTGTCACTTCCATAGTCAATCAGCAGGTCCTCCCTGGGGGCATTTTCATAGCTAATTGCATCATCTGGAAACTGATGAAATGCACTGGAGATCCTTGTGGGATGGAAGGAAGAGGCACTGTAGTTAGCTGATAAGGTGTCATCAATGGTGTTGAGATCTTTCAATCCAAGTGTTTGAAGGACCCAAGGGTCCACAGAGGGCCCAGGCTGCTTTTCACAGGCAGCAAATTCACTGGAGAGATTTCTCTTGGCATTTTTTGGATGAGGAATCTCAACAGAACAATACCTCTGCTCCTTGGGTTTCCTCTTCCCACTTCTGAATTTCCCATATGCTTTGTAGAGCTCATCTGATGACAACAATTTCTAGGGAATTAATATGGATAAAACATATAGTCAGATGATCAGTCAAAGACATTTCATTTATTGCTGTCTCACTACACTACCTAAAATAATTTACTACTACCAGTTGCCATCAAGTGAATTTAATTTTATGTGTTGATGATTAGAACGATAGTCTATTTCTTTAAGAGTTTTGGAAGATCACCAGGCCTTTCTTCCAAGGCCCCTATGGATGGGTTCAGACTCTCACCTTTTTGGTTAGTGGTAGAGCACTAAGCTGCTACTCAGAATTTTTTCTAATGGAGTATTCATATATATTCATTCATATATATTTATAAATACACACACAC